AAACTTTCTGCTTGTCTCCAAAAATGCGATAATGGACCGATTTAAACCCGTTTGAACTTTATTGCCCTGAAATACACATAAACATAAATTAAGACTAAAACATGAAAATAAGATAGATGCAAAGACTGAAATACCCTAACTTAGGTGCTGAAATGTGCAACATTTAAGCACTTACCAAGGGCTTGGGTCTTCATGACATAGGCTCCACTGAAGCTGTCCAAGCTGAAAACATGTATGGTGGTGAAGAAGTCGATAAAGCAGAGGGCTTCGGTGCCGGTGATGGTGAGGAACCAGGGCCGAAGTCGGAGATCTTGAGGTTTCGTCCCCGGCAACAGCTTGTTCAAGTACCGGCGAGGCGTCAATCATCGACACGAGGCACAGTGCAACGCTGATCTACGAATTCTGTTCCTGTTTTGCCTCTTCACGCCGCTGCCGCTATTTTCTGTATATATATATATATATACTGAGGGTGTTTTTGTCATTTATGATTATATATATTTTGTATTAAAAAATTTGAGGGTAAAATAGTCAATTCATGTGTAAGAGGCTAAAAAGTAAATTAGGATGTAAGTGAAAGTTAAAACCAAAATCTTCTTCTAGCTAAATATGACCTAACCTCAGGGGTCTGTGTAATTTACCCTTTATAATAACACAAAATTCTGTCATATGACACGCCCTCGTATATATATAAATTACTTCTGTAATCAAGTGGACACCTCGATTTAAATACCAAATGACGAATACACATCATTCACTAATTGAATATAAAGTATCACATTAAACCACAATTTGAAAAAGGAGTTATTAACTAATGTTTTGATTATTAGTTATAATAAAGTTATCAAGAGCTCCTTTTTGAAATTGAATTAGTCTATCTATTTCTTCTCTTCTTTTTAATTATTTTATATTCAGATTCATACTTTCTAGTAGACATAAAAATGGTCACACATCACCAACATAATATACAATTTTGCTTAATAAGACTACAAATTAATTTAAGGTAAAGATCGAACAATAGAACCTGATTTAGAAAAATCCGATCCAATGCACCAAAAATTTCTTTAAATAAAAGTGCTCAAAATCTTTCATAGTAACGGAAATTTTACCAATTCCAACAACACTTAAATATATATTCAATAATTACATGTGGTGTAATTATAATGATATAGGAAAATAACAAATATGGAATGAAGAGGAGAGAGAGATAGAGAAAAGAAAATTAGATTTTAGTACCAAACATAAACAAAACTGCTTTAGAGTGACCACAAAAATAAAATTTAAATAAAAAAATTAGTGACCAATTACACATTTAATTTCTAATGAGTGACCATTTACTATTTTATTATGTATAATTAGACAAATTTACCTTTTTGTTCTTTTTGGTCTACTACAAGTAGCTCAAGTTTGTGAAAGACTTGAGAAAACTAAGTTCACCGCCTCTGGTTGTAATATTAGCAAATAGATTAACAAGTCTTTGAAGTAGTTTTAAGTGGCCTACGTTTTAAGGAATTGTTGCAGTGAATTAATTAATTGTATTTTTCGTCCTAATGAAATGATCATATAGAAGAATTGGACATATTTAGGGCCGTTTGCACTGAGTTTATCATATGCAAGGTTGAGAATAAAACCGACCGAGTGTATCGCCCAAGATATGACTTGAAGCTTAGGGCCTGTTCGGAAGGCCAAAACGATATTGGTTTTGTGGTTTTGGTTTCGGTTTTGGGCTCCTATCTCGTTTGGTGTAGGCTGATTTGGTTTTGAATAGTGTAAAAAACAATACCAAATTTGGGCCAAAACCAATAGCAAGAATTTGGTGATATTGGGGTCCGTTTGGATGGTGATAACGTTATATGTTATGGTTTGGTATGATATGAAAACAGCCGTTTTGGTATTGGTATGTTTTAGTATAAATCGGATCCATGTTTGGTAACGATTATTTCGTTTTTGATAATTGTATATCAGAAACATGATAACGCGTTTGGTATTATCATGCGTTTTAAGGAATCCGAAAACAAAACACGTTTGGGAAGTTAGTTTTGTTATCAAAAATTCTGAATCAATAACAGAATACCTGTTTGGTAAAGACTGTTTTGTTTTTGTTTTGAAAAATTATATATATGAATACAATTGTAAGTTTATATGTAAATAGTCCATTTTTTTTTATGATTTGAGATAATTTGTTAAAATTTTAAAAAAATAAAAATAAAAATATTCTGCATTAGAGTTAGGAAATTTTTTTTTTGAATAAATTTACATGTATAGTGGCAACCAAACTACAAACCTTAAACTTTGTAATAATGAATAAATCTGCATAAACATGATTAATGGCAACCAAATTACAAATCTAACTTTGTAATAATCTTTCAATGAGAGCAGATCTTTGCACTCCATTTATCTTTTTCTTTTGGCTTGCATTCCATTTAACTTTGTTTTGTTTCATATATATATATATATATATATATATATATATATATATATATATATATATATTATATAAATTCATGATGAATGTGTGAGAGAGAGAGATCCTTGTAGTTAAAACTAACAATAAACAAAGCCAAAACGTTGATCTTCTTGAATTGGTCAGAGTTGAGATTTGGTAGACATTGAAGCTTGTGAATAGTTTTACTTCACTTAGATTAGTTTAAAATTTTGTAGTGGAGGTCCTTCAAATTGGTAATATTTTTTTGTTTAGTCATGAAACCATTTCCCCTTTTCTTGAGTATTTATTTTGATAACCGACTTGTGAATATTTCATACAATATCCAACCATAAGCAGAATTGATAAATATGAATAAAGATTAAAAGCAAGCAATCAAGGAAGATCCCTCTCTTATAAGACTGAACAACATTCACATATATACTTCCACATATAGTTTTGCTTTGTACATCACAATCTTAAGAACTTGAGTGTTGCACCATTCACATATATACTTCCACATATAAGGAGCTAGGCATTCCTTAAAAATAGTATGTGTGTACACACACACTTCATTACATAAAATGTACACACAATTGGAGATCACTAATATTCATTCCATAAAATGTACACCCACTTCTTTATACTTGCTTAGGCCTCCATTTGATTAACTTAGAGATCACTAGCTTCCTGGATTTGCAGCAACTAGAGAATGCTTCCTATCAATCCCACTGGTGCCACTACCTACAACTTAATGCCATGTCCTTCAATGTAGTAGCAAAAAATGAATTTGAATGTAAAACAAGACATTACCTATAATAGCAAAATATAAAGCAGAGTTAAATTCAATTTTTTTATTTTATTTTTAAAAAATCCGGCATGATTTTCCCTTAAAAATGGACATTTCCAAAATTTCAAAACGCAATAAACACAAGGGACACCGCCCACAAAATTAATTCAACAAGGGACACTGCCCACAAAATTCATTTAACAAGCGACACCGCCCACAAAATTATTTCAACAAGGGACACCGCCCACAAAATTCAATTAACAAGGGACACCGTCCACAAATTTCCTTTTCCAGCAAGATATATCTAACCTTCTTTCAGGCTAAGCTGCAAATTTGGAGTGTAAATGACCTCATGCAAAATAAAACACATGAACAATATTAGAAAAAAATAAAATAACATATGGTAGGAATGAAATAATTAGAAGTAGTAAACAAGATATATCTAACATTTTTTCAGGCTAAGCTGCAAATTTGGAGTGTAAATGACCTCATGCAAAACAAAACACATAAACAATATTAGATAAAAACAAAATAACACACGGTAGGAATGAAATAATTAGAAGTAGTAAACAAGATATATCTAACATTTTTTCAGGTTAAGCTGCAAATTTGGAGTGTAAATGACCTCATGCAAAACAAAACACATGAACAACATTAGATAAAAACAAAATAACACACAGTAGGAATGAAATAATTAGAAGTAGTAAACAAGATATATCTACCCTTTTTTCAAGCTTAGTTGTAAATTTAAAGTGTAAATGACCTCATGCAAAACAAAACACATGAACAACATTAGATAAAAACAAAATAACACGGTAGGAATGAAATAATTAGAAGTAGTAAACAAGATATATCTAACCTTTTTTCAGGCTTAGTTGTAAATTTAAAGTGTAAATAACCTCATGCAAAACCAAACACATGAACAACATTAGAGAAAAACAAAATAACACACGGTAGGAATGAAATAATTAGAAGTAGTAAACAAGATATATCTAACCTTTTTTCAGACTAAGTTGCAAATTTAGAGTGTAAATGACCTCAGTAGCAAATTTTACAAATGCTCTACCCAAAATGACAGAGAAGAGAACACAACAGCAACTAATACGCAGTTCAAAATATACCATTTAAGTATATATTACATACCAAATGAAACACAGGAAATTAACTAAATACGTATTACATGTCATATATTACAAAAGATGGAAGTTTATCTAACTTCATCTTTCAATAACAACGATAATGAGCAACAAGAGGACAATCACAATAAACATGATTGTGATAGCAAGACATCCACAACCTAGGAAGAGCATGTAAAAAAAGTCTACATTGTTCATTTTGAATCATTGCAATGACTCTGTCCAAGTCAGATTGAACCTGTTTTTCAACTTGTGCATCTTGATGCAACTCATCCACCCACATAAATGCATTCATATGTGACTATAAGAAATATAAATTATACAATTAGGAAACAGTAACAGAAATAACGCCTAAAAGTTTAAAACCATACCTCCTGAGTTGGACACCGATAAAATTGTCGACCATCATTTTTTGGAGTTCGAGCCCTATACAGATGTATAGGACCTCTACCACGTGCACATTGTGGTCGTTCACCTTCAAGCCTATACATAAGTGCGCCTACAAGTACTAAAGCATTTAATATTTGATGTCCTAATATGATTAGTTATTACAGTTATCCATAAATAAGGAACATCTGAGTTTAATTTACGTAATATAATTAGTTATTACAGTTATCCATATTAAAATTCTACACACTATTGGACAGTTTTATAATTAGTGATTACAATGCTCCCAAATTAGGTTGGCAATACCATCACGATAAATATCCATTTGTCGTATCTGTGTATTAGTAGCACTGGCCACCTGAACATCGTCATCCACATCAGGTTCATTTTGTGAAGATTGAGGGGTTTCAGAATAAAAAATTTCATCAGATTTACCTTGGGATCTTATGAAATTATGCAATGTACAACGAGCAATGATAATAAGAACTTGAGTGTCAAAGTGATAAGGGGGCATTTGCTTCAATATAGCGAATCTCATCTTTACCAACCCAAAACATCGCTCTATGATATTCCTCAATGACGAGTGCCTAAAATTGTACACCTCTTCTCTACCACGTGGTCCTCTAGTATGTCTACGATATTTCTGCATGTGGTAACGTTGACCCCGGTAAGGGGCCAAAAACCCCGGTTGATTGGCATACCCAGAGTCCACTAAATAAAACTTACTTGTCATGTTAAGTATTAAAATTAACATATTTGTAATGTTAAATGCATAAATATGGAAAGGTAATATTTTTACCTTCGGGTGGTGATGGAAAATTGAAATCCTCATTCTGAATGCACTCATTTAAAATCTTCGAATTATTGGCAGACCCTTCCTACCCTGCTAGAATGTATGTGAATTTCATATCAAAGGAACACACGGCCATGAAATTTTAGGTTGTATCACCCTTTCTACCACGAAAGGGTATTTGTTGGTCAACTGGCACTACAACATGGATATGAGTACCATCTATAGCTTCTACACAATTCTTAAAGTATGGGTAAAACTTTGGATTGTTCTTTATCTCTTTAGGAATTTCATTCAAATCCGGGGGAACAATAATCTTAGTCCCTAACTCACAAATTAACTTTAAGACAGTATGAAAGTGATATGAAATTATGGATGTAGAGTGTTGGAATCTTTCAGCAACGACACGATTCATTTCATTGTGAGACACGGTAAGTAGGAAAATTGCAACTTGTTCTTCTACAGTTAGAAATGTTGAATCTTTCAATCCTAACAATTTCAACTCATGACACAATGCCCTAAAGGTGTTGGGGTACATCCGAAAATTTTCATAACACCTATCTTCATGTCCATATAAGAGCTCGAATATGTAATCTTCCCTTTGTAACATGGAATCCCTACAACGATGCTTATCAAAATGTTTATGATAGTACTCATATACGGCTGCGATCAATACAAGAATTTCCTCCTCCTCATCATCATCATAAATGGTTAATATTGTCCTTATATCCATAGCTACTATCCTATTTAAGAATAAACAGAAGCAGTTATTGTAATAAAAATTAAGCAAAATGGAAAAGACATACCGAATCATACAATTATCCAGCAATAATGTAAAAGTAATAGATATAGAACATAAATAGTTATCCAGCATTAATTTAAAAGCAGTAGATAGAGGAATTAAATACAGTCTTCCAACAATAATGTAAAAGCAGTAGATAAGAAAATTTCATTACAGTCATCCAACAGTAATGTAAAAGCAGTTATAAAACAGTTATCCAAAAGCATATAAAAGTAAGATACCGAAGAAATCACACAGGCTGATTCATCACCCACCCAACCTTCCTGTCATCAGGAACGCGAAGAAATATGTCCCTCCACACCTTGTCCTCACCAAACATCCTTATGATCTTAGCATAATATGTATCATCAATCCCCACTAATGTGTTGACGATCTTAACGCACTCTTCAAGCTGGGGATCCATTTCTTTTTCTTTTTTACTGGGAGATATCACTTCAGGCATTTTGGTAAATCAAGATGGTTGACAACTAGAAGATGATTCTGCTATGGCTTTTGCAATTTTATCAGCTTTCGCGTTCCCAATATTAGTCAAACATTCTATCATTAAAGACATTGTTTCTGAAAAAGTTTTTTTTCTTCTGTTTCTTAGCTGTAGGTTTGGGAGTAGGACTGAGGTCAATAGGTCCTTCTACATTAGGTCGTTCTACATCAGTCATGCCCGCATTGCCCTCAATGTTATAAATTTCAACTTCATATGTTGCCACTTGAGGCATTGTTAGCACTTGGTGAGGTCTGGGTGGCTTTGTAGAAGGATGAACATGCTTGCCAGTAGCATGTGTATTCCCAAAAATCCTTACCATCTGCTCATAATTCTTACACCCCTGTTTTTTTTTATTTTTTTGCCATGCTTGAGAACCTACACGTTATTAGCTTACAATTATTGTTCATCAAACCCTTTTAATACTAAATCACTAATTACTAACTGTATGTATGGTAAATAGACACGTATTGAAATACTAACCTTGCACAATCGAACCCATCTTTCAACTTCCAACTCAATCATCCCAGTTTCACTGTTCTACCCTACACCAGTCTCAGATAATATTTGTTTGCAATCTTTGTACAGTGCTCTTATATTATTGAATTTTTGTCTACATTGGTCCTTCGTGTACTTCTTTCTAGTTTCCAATAACATTACGTCCACAATATGTGTCCACCCATTTGGATTAAAAGTCGTGCCTGTACGATTTCCTTTTCCAATCTCTTCCTCCATCAAAAGCATGAATTTCTCTTGATGGGCACACAAAACAGCGACATCGGCCTGTTCAATAACTACAACATCCTCACCATTCTCACCATTAAGAGAATGAATGTCTCTTGATGGGTATTGCTCAACATTGTCATTGTTCATGTCCATCTGATTATTATTAAGTAATTGAACAGTTTAGTATATTGAATTGTGTTTTGACTCATAATTCAACACGTCAATGATAAGTAAAGAAGGTGTTATCTATAAAACACTTCAATAAGGGGCAAAAAAGAAGAAAAAATGAAGTAAAAATGTGATAAAACCTCAAAGCTGTTTTTGTGTGTGTGTATGAATCTGAAGAATAAATTTATTTTCCTACAAAGTAACACACAAATACTTTGCTCCTATGAAAAAAAAATAAAAATAAAAATTGGATCCTCATCCTTTTACTTTGAGAGAGAGATAAGATAGAACCCATGTTTTATCAAATCTCATAGACACAACACAGTTCAAATAACGTCCACAACGTATTTCTAGATTAATCAAAGTCAAATTCGAAAATTGAAGTATACTAAATTGTACAAGCCTTATTTATAAGTTGACTTAATCCTTTGGAAACATCCATTTCACCTAAACTACACCAAAACTAGAGCTACTCACTCTGAGTACCATCACAACGAGGGCAGGGAAGGGAAGGGAAGGGAGTAATTACAGTCTTGTAAAATAGGACTCATACATTACGGGATCTGTAAAGAAGAATAGGTGCAGAAATAAGTGGCTCATTCTTATTGGTCGTTTGATTGGTTTAATATAGCCACTTATTAAGAAGGAAGGAAAATGTGCAAAAAGTAAATACAAAGGAAATAACAAAAAAAATTTGTTAGGTAAGAATGATGCAATGAAAGAAAGGATAATAGTAATAATGTGTCATTCTTCATTCTTTATAAAAAAAATTCGGTCCAAAAATGAGCGGAAGAAGGAGGGAAAGAAAAATAAATTATTATATAATTACAATATTATATTACTATCAATTACAATATTATAGATATTACTCAACGTAATGATAAAAATAATTTAAAACTTTATCCTTCATTCTCTCTTGAGAACATAATAAATTGTTAATTTATTATCTTCTTTTCTATCCAACAAAACAAAAATAAATAAAAAAAGACCCAATTTCTCATTCACCCCTTATTTTCACTGTTCCCTCTAACTTTTTTTCTATACTACCAAACAAAGTATCAGTATATGCAGTACATATGTAAATAAAAGTACTTCTTTTCATTTATGCAGTACATATGTAAATAAAAGTACTTCTTTACATTTCTCTTTACATTATGAGTATCAGAATACAATTTTTAATTTTGGCTTTTTTTTTTTTTTTTTTTTGTGCACTTTTTCTGGTACAAGTGTCCAGTTCAGCTACTGCATTAAAAAAAAAAAGGTGTAACCATTACTACTAATTAAAAGAATACAAACACAATATGTGATTAATCGACCTAACATTTTCATATGTTGGCAAAAAACTACATATTCCATATGTTGACAAACTTTCTTAAAATTTCTATCTTTAGACAAATTAATCGACCTAACATTTTCAGTTTTAAGTCTAAAGATTCATTAAGTTCGCCCAATTAGTATTTAAATAAGGAGTTTAGAATCTGATGAGGATAAAAATAATAGACAATCAAAGACAAAATAAGATAAGGGTAAGGGATTTATCCTCCCCAAAATCTCTATGAAATTATATTAAAAAATTTGGTTACCATGTGTAACGATAGTTACCATTCTTGTAAGAAGGAAACGATATCATCTTGGATCAAGGAGAATCTTGCTTCAACAACTACTACCATCAATGCTTCTATAAAAGAAATGATCAGTCAACCTAAAAAGGTACGCCATAAATTTTATATGTAATCCTTATCGGATATTAGATCGTCAAGTACTAACTTGACCGTCGGAGTGCACCCGGCCGGCACCACGCCGGTCATCACTTCTCTTGTTTTGCAGGAATTGCCACCGGCTCTGGAGCGTGTAGATTTTCGGCATCAACAGAATCAAATTAATTCAGGATTGGTAAAGAAAAATACAGCACTCAATCACAAAATAAAGTTGAAAACAGAGGTACCACTTCCTAATTATATTCAAGTCATAACAAATACGAAATACCAATAACATAATTAAAAAAAAAATCCCACTTACAGAAACTGGAAATCGAGAATAGATACAAATAGTCTTAATTAGGGTTAGGGTTTCCTAGTGCCGTTACATGCAGCTCCTTCAAAGACTGGTTGCACAAAAGCCTGGAACTACCTCGCACAACGACTGAACTGAGAAGGGTTGAAGTTGAAACCACAAAATCGCGTCAAAGGTATGCGCGAAAACAGAGACAAATCAGACAACAGACGTAGATCTGAGAATCGAGAATACCAATAACATAATTAAACAAAAATCCCACATACAAAAACTCGAAATCGAGAATACATACAAATAGAGCCTTAATTTTAGGGTTAGGGTTTCCTAGTGCCGTTACCTGCAGCTCCTTCAAAGACCCGGTGTTGCACAAAAGCCTCGAACTACCTTGCACAACGACTGAACTGAGAATGGTTGAAGTCGAAACCCCAAAATCGCGTCAAAGAGATGCGCGAAAACAAAGACAAATCAAACAACAGAGAGTTACGATAGCCACTGGTTAGATGTTGGATCTACAAACTCTCAAAGATCTTTGCACAACCTTTGTATATCAAAGGTAGACAATAAATCGCCCCAAATCGCCTTTCAGATATGCGGGAGAAGAGAGAGAAATGAGAGGCACAAATGACCTAATTTGAGAAAAAGTTTATTTTTATACCTTATATCACCGCTACAGTGTTTGGTATCACTTGATACCAGTGCTACAGTATTCGGCCCAATCTGATACCGCCGCTACAGTGCAAAATCAACCAAGGGGCC